GCTCTTTAGGGGAACATGTGGAAAAGTGACATTTTAAAAGTTTACTATTAAGAGGAAAATTAACATAGTAATACTAGCTAATAATAATAATAATAATAATAATGGCTAACATTTACTGAGTACTTAGTATGTGCCAGTTACTGTGCTAAGTGCTTTGTGTACTTATTAATTCTTTAGTAAAATAGATAAACTCTTTCACAGTGGTTAATCTTGAATTTTTAGGATCTTCCAGAACCTGATTTTAAAATTACTAGTATCTTGCAATAGCTCTTTTAGTCATCTCAACAAGAGCTTCCCAAGTGATATTGTCAAAGCACATTGAATGTGCTGCAAATGTGTTACATTGTGTTGAGGTATTGATTTCCTCAATCCCAGAGTAGGAGTCCCAGCCTAGTATCCTTGTGTCCCTTGTGTATCCCATTTTATGAAAAGTTGTGACAATCAAGGATCTTGTCTGATTATACTGTAGGGAAAACTGGTGGTTGAACCCTAGGATACAAACTGCTAGCCTTGTGGAATGTTTCTTATCCTTTTATTTGAAGTGGGAACAAAGGCATCTTTTATCAGGGGACAAAGAACATGTGTGTGGAGCTCTAATTCGTTTTTCAATTTCTTACGTATTTTGTGCATAGTATGTCTAATATGCATTATTAGTGTTTTAATGCCACCAAAAATCATTGGTGATTTGAAATGAGTGTACATCATTCTCATTTTATACATATTCCTTTAATCTGTTGAAAATTAATTAGATTGTTCATTCATCTGTAATATATGATGTCCTTTGGTGAAATGACTTCTTAATTTACCTCCCTGTGTTTTTTCAAAGATGTTAAAAATTAGAACTAATTTTATTCTAGAAATATTTCTGTTGGACCATCGAGTATACAGAAGAAATCTCATTAGACCACAAATGTTTAAAAGGTTTTAATAAGTGAATTTGATTATTTGAATAGATGTAATAGGAAGCTCCTCGCTCCCCAAATTTGTTGAACTTAGACCCGGAAATCTCAAACTCATATGTCTGGTTACATATATAGACTTATGTTATTGGGGCTTCGGGTTTAGAATCCTATTTTATTCTGCTCTTATACTACTTGATGGTTATTGCTATGTGATAATAGTAGATACACTTTTAAACGGCACTGCTATGGAAAGAAATAAACAGCAAAACGATCATAATTTAGTATTTGTTACTATAAAACTTTTTCAAATTTTTGTTGTTTGCATATGTAACAGAAAGCCATATTAAATATCCTAGGAGTTCTTCATACATCCTCATGGCTGGTTGCTACTGCCTGTGTCTATCTTCATTCACACAGCTTCCTTTAGATGACAGTGATATAGGATAGTTTGTGACCCTCCATGTCTTACCTCCTTATTCAGTCTGATATGCTAGAAAGAGCAATGAACTTGGAAATCAGTAGGCTGGGTATCAACTATTGTGGATGTTCTAATACTTTATCAAAACTTGACAAGTGTTAGTTTCTTAAAAGTAGTTGCCTTGTTGACTCTGAAACCATATCGGTGAACTTACTCTATTACGTTAAAATTCCTTGGTCTATCTTGAACTTTTCATCCATGCATGATTTTGAAACATCCTTCATTGTTCATTTAGAAAATACAGTTCACTGAGTTATACAGATCTTCCAAATATTGAAACATTTTGTTTTATAATATTTAAAATCACATTAATTAATATCACCTTCAATCTCCTCAGGAAACCTAAGTATTAGGAAGCAGTCAAGCTCACAGTGGCAGATACCAATCTTCCAAAATTCTGATTTTCTCTTGAAAGCTTCAGTTTTATCCCTGACAGCAAGTATCATTAGTTGTTTTTCTTGAAATGACAAGTAAATGTCTGGCAAATAATAAATCTAAATAATCGTACGTTGTCAGTTTTTCTTTCAAGATTAAAACAGTATCCCATAAAAAAAATTAAATTAGTTTAACTCACAACTCAAACAATTGTACAAGTCCTTCTCCTTGGGATGACCATTATGCTTTGTTATTGTGGCAAAAGTGCTTTATATGTACTTGCCTTTTTGTCATACAGGATATTGTGTGTACTTAATGAGTGATAGGGATTTATTAAAATTTATTTTTACTACATCATCAGTAAAAATGAATTCTCTCTTTTTCACTGCAAGCCTGTTGTGATGAAGAATACAGTGCAATTTATGCTGTATTAAGTACTAGTACTTTTCAGTACCATTACTTCGGTACCAAGGTGCCAGCATTTGTACTTACCATTACTTTAATACCATTAGTGTAATGTCAGTATTATACAAAGGCTGACAAGGTCCTAGTATTACGAAAAAATAGTTTTAACCACATGGGACCTCCTGAAAGATTTTGGAGATCCCCAGGAGTCCATGGATCATGCTTTAAAAACCTCTACTCTGTTCTGTCATTATTGATGTGCAATGTTACCTTTATCGTATGTTAAATTCCTCTGAATACTTGAGATTTTTGCATTCTCTCTTCTATTTGCTGATTTACTTTCCTTTTCTTTCACTAATTTTAAAGTTATAATTTTACTGTATCTTTGTGGTATACTCGTGTTATTATTTTTATTATTTTGGATATTCTTGTGTTATTTGTCTTTTTAGATCAGCTTGTTCAGTTACATGTCAAGAAAAAAATGAATATAAACCATAGGAATTTTGATGGGGATTATGTGAAATTTATAATTAATTGAGGAGAGTTGGCATGTTTACAACATTGAGTTTTTCTATCTAGGAACATGGTTTGTTCTTTCATTTATTCAATTCTTCACTAAAATTTTACATTT